GGAAAAAAGGTATACAAATGCCCATAGTATCCTATACCCACCGGTTGACAAGCAAAAAATTGTAAAATTCGTAGCAATCCATTCCCACTCACATAACGATTTATGTTATTTTTGCTGGTTGGCCTTTTTAGATTTAAACCTAATTCTTAAACATCCCAATAAAGAAAAGTCAATAAAATAAGCTAATCATGTGAAGAATTGATTAATAAATCGGATACAATTATACTTTTATCACGGATACGTCTAACTAGCAATTGATATCAAATAGAACATCAAAATCAAAGAAAATGATGTAAGATATATGGCTTATTTTACAGGATGTTATGAAAATTAAAAGGTCTATTTCGGTATATTTTCCAGGCTCTGAAGGTATATTTTATCGATAGATCCGCGGTCACACTGAATAAGAAGTCCAATGAACAAAATCGCGTAAATAATGTAAAAAAAAACTCCCGTCAAGTCCGGAAGCAGCACCATGTCTCTGGCGTTTGACCTGAGCAATTCCGGAGACGCTTATCACCCACTGGACAGTGGGAGCGGAAAAGAAGTGGCGGCATCGGTCCCACAAAGACAAGCGCCCAGCATGAGGGTCTCGTGGCTCAGGCAATGTCGCCGCTATAAGCTGCCCGCCCTTCTTCTCATGATGCTATTTCTGATGTCCTGCCTTTCCTACCGCATCCTGAGTGTAGGTGAAAAACTCTCATAGGTATAGTTTCTCACTGGTTTTATTTCCGCACAGGCCGAGCGGGACTCTCCTCCCACGGACGTACACCGAAGCTCTCCGCTTCTGGATGCATATGAGGACTTCAGCGCAATGCGTGCTGGCGACCTAAAGATGCGCATCGAGGAGATGGTGAGAATCAAGGTAAATGCATAACACATTTTCCAATGTGTATACGAGCTAATACTAACTTTTCCAGAGCACTGTGTCAGTGGAGCTACGAGAGCTCGAGTCACGCCGCCAGAAGCTGCAGTCTGACATCAGTCAGTACAATCAGAAGATCGAGGAGCTTAAGCAGGAGCTGCTGCGAGAGCAGACCGAGTTGGAGCGACTCAAAATGTCCGTGGAGCAGGCGCAGGTGGCACAGCGCGAGGCAGTGCAGCGCAACACTCCTGACCTTGCCTTGCCGCGCACCCTCCTGCCAAACTCTATTCCCCGAAAGATGAATACTGTGTCGACGGGCGTAGCCGCCACTTGTGCGATGCACAACTGCTTCGACCACTCCCGTTGCAGCCTCACCTCTGGCTTCCCAGTGTACCTATACGACCCCGATGAGCACAGCGTCCAAAAAGCTGGCTACGACATCGATGGGTTCCTTAAAACGACTCTCAAACAGACTCTAGGCTACAACGCGCACATCGTGAGGGATCCAAAGCAGGCCTGCATCTACCTGGTGCTGGTGGGCGAGGCTCTACTGGAGCAGGATCTGCTACGAAATAACCGATACGCAGCCCAAGAAGCTGAGCAGCAGCAGCCGACGGCACCAAGCCACACACACGACTGCCCCATTGACACCCAGAAGCTGTACAACCTCCCCTACTGGGGCGGTGATGGCCGCAACCATGTGCTGCTCAACCTCGCACGCCGTGACCTCTCCTCCCGCCGCACCAATGCACTGCTTCAGCAGAACACCATGCGTGCCATTGTCATTCAGAGCGCTTTTGAGATGAACCAGTTCCGGCCCGGATACGATCTGATTGTGCCCCCCATCCTGGGGCCACCCGGAGGAGACGTTTGGCAGGAGTGTGCCAGCATGGTGCCCGCCCGCCGCAAGTACTTGATTTCGTTCCAAGGAGAGATGAGACCGAGAACAGACTCTCAAGCCTCAAACCCGCTCGACGACTTCATTCTGGAACACTTGACTGACATGTCTAAGGGACCCACTCAGGATCAGTTCGAGCTGCAGTTCCAGTGCGTGCCTGCCACGGAGCAGCAGGAGGCGGACTCCGTGTCCGACTGGACGCTCTGTGGATCGGATTCCTCCCGCAAACATCTGCTGAAGGACTCTACCTTTGCGCTGATCCTTCCGCCGCTCAGCGGGCGGGTTGCTTCCACCCTCATGCTGGCCCGACTCTACGAGGCGCTGCGCTCTGGGGCCATTCCCGTCATCCTCGGAGCAGATGAACTCCGACTGCCGTACGCGGAGACTCTGGACTGGCGTCGGGCGGCACTCCTCATGCCCAAAGCTCGCATCACGGAGCTGCACTTCCTACTGCGAGCCGTCCAGGATGCGGACTTGCTTCTTCTGCGGCGCCAGGGCCGTCTTATCTGGGAGCGCTACCTCAGTTCGGTTCAGGCCACGGTGGATACGGTTATAGCTAGCCTACGCGATCGGCTAGGGATACCACCGCGGCCTGTTCCCCCAGTGGTTGCCCAAAGTGTCTTCAACAGCACATTCATACCTCTGAAGTCCGATCCACCAGTGGGACTGGACACTGAACCAGAGGAGTCTCTTGGTCCCATTGAGCCGCCATATCCGAGTCCCGCCTTCCGCAGAAACTACACTATCCTACGCATGCAGTCCAAGGAGG